AACAAATTATATAAGAAATCAAATAAGTACAATGATCGTAAAATCGATGAAATAAATAAATAAAAGTAGCTATTTGACTTATATATAAAATGGAATTGTGTATAATATATTTAATGGAAGTGGACAAAGGTTTGTTTCTTGATAAAGTAGCCAATTAATGCATATTATAAATTTTATTCTTTGTTATTAACGAATCTAATGTCATCAGCAAATAATCTAAATCAGATATGTATAATGATCTCAAAACCAATAAAATAAATAAATAAATAAAAGCTATTTTTCCCTAATATATTTAAAGGATGTAGACGAAGGGTTTTATCAGAATAAAATAGTAATTGGCGTAAATTACAATATGTATACATTGTCATCAACAAATTATATAAAAAATCAAATGTTAACAATAATTATAAATTCAATGAAATAAATTAATAAAAAGAGAAATTCCCTTTATATATAATTATAATATAATTCCCCCAATAGAAAATTCCCCTAATAAACTTAAAGGGGTTGTTTCTTGATAAAATAACAAATTTATACACATTGTAAAAGATATACTTTATAATTAGCAGTTGTGCCATCCAAATTTTGTAAGAAAAGTGCAATCATCAAAAAAATAAATAAAATAAATAAAAAGAACTTTTTGCCCTATAATCTTTAAAGGAAATAGATCTCGGGGTTGTATTTCAATAAAATAACATATTGGTATTTAATAATAAATTAATAACAAATTACTTTGTCATCAACATTTTAAGTAGTAAGTTGTTGATGCATTTTTGATGCAACTTTGTTGATGCATTTTCATGCATCAACGAAGACAAATCATCAGTCCATTTTCATGCATTTTCTCTAATTTCCATAAATTTTTCGGGAAAAAAAATCTCATTTGTGGAAAATTTTTTACAAAAACTGAAATTGTTAACTGCTTAAAGATAGTTTTAATCTTCATGAGCATTTTTGTCTTTACTTAAAGGAAAAATATAAACTTTAGATTTATCTTATTTTGAGGCATTTCATAAAGTTATTTTAAAAAAGATTTGATTTCATGAAATTAATGCTAATTCTACTGTTTGCTTGAGGTTAACTTATGAAGTTTTTTTCCTTGAAAACGTATTGTACTTTTTACTAATGCTACTATTACTAATAATAATAAGAACAAAAACATAAAAATTAAAAGAAAAAAAAACAACTCAGGAATTCAAAAAAAAAATAATATTAAAAATGCAAGCTTGATAAAAATCAAATGAGTAACAACAAAAAAAAAAAAGTGAAGATAGAAAAGTTTTAGATTTTTCTAAAAAGCGTGGTAAGAAAGTTGATGTAACTGGTATAAAGATAACATGATCTGATAGCATATTAAATAGTTGATGTTAGGAAGGAACAATACTAATTTTTCCTCGCAGCAAAATAGATTTGATAAAAAAGGTGCATATAAAAAAGTTATAGATTTTTCAAAAAAGCGCTGTGTGGTGTTAAGATAAAATGACAATTAATAAATAAAAAAATTTAATTACCTATAATAAAAGGAAATAATAATTTAGTGATTCATGACTAAGTTCTTAAAAAACAATGATTTGAATTAAGTTTAGAAAAATTAAATATTATTAAAACCAATGAGTATGTTTTTATTATGCTCATCACATTTTGAATAAACTGCATTAAATATTTTTATTTTTCATGACGGAATCAATTTAAAAATATTTCATGAGTGCTGAAAATGTAATTAACTTTCTTGGTTCTCGATTGATGATCAAGAACATAAGAACAGGCTACAAAAAAGTAAATTATAAAATGAAAGATGCTCTGATAGCATATTAACCAGTTGAAATTAGAAAAGAATAATACTAATTTTTCCTCGGAGCAGAATACATTTGATAAAAAAGGTGAAGATGAAAAAGTTATAGATTTACCTAAGAAGCGTGGTTCGAAAGTTAATATAACTGGTGTTAAGATTAATACGTAAAAAATTTAATTACCTATAGTAGCAAATACATAAAATAATCTAATAATTTAACTGTGTATATATATATAGATATGTATATATATACATATATATAGATAGATATAGATATATATATATTTCGGGGAAAGTCTTGCCCCCCAAACCCTCGTCAAAATTACGCCACTGTGTTCATGACTAAGTTCTTAAAAACACAATGATTTGAATAAGGTTAATATATTAATAAAGCCAATGAGTATGTTGTTATTTTATTTATCACATCTTGAATAAACTGCATTAAATATTTTTCATGACGGAATCAATTTAAAAAATATTTCATGAGTGCTGAAAATGTAATTAACTTTCTTGGTTCTCGATTGATGGTCAAGAATATAAGAACAGGCTACGAAAAATAAATTATAAAATGAAAGATGTTCTGATAGCATATTAAACAGTTGAAGTTAGGAAAGAACAATACTAATTTTTCTCTGCGAGCAGAATACATTTAGAGAATAGTCATTAAAATGACAAATTACGGCTTACATTAATCAGAAAATAGAAATAAATGGTAATGAATGAAAACAGAACAATTCGAAACATCGACTTCGAACCATCTGGAGAGACACTAATAAAAATATTAATTTATCACTTTCAGAACAACCCCCCTCGTAACGACCTAAAGACGTCAGGTAAAAAGAGGAAGAAAAAAAGTAAGAAAATAAAATACAGAAAAAAAAATCAAAGAAGAAAGAAATAAGATGCATTTACAAAGAGCAGAACGGTGATGCAGAAGAGGAAAAAAAAATAATAATGAAAAAGGAAAAAAAATTATTTTCGAACTAGGGGGGAAAAGTGTGAGGGCCAGACTGCGTGGTGTCGACAAATGGAATGTGCATCGCTCGAAAAAATCTTAATGAACCGGACGAGAGGAAAAATAAAAATAAGAAAAAGTTTTACGGGTTACTCCAGTTTTTAGCAAGGGACGCCAATCAATTCGTTCTATAGAGCGCCAAATTTTTATGACTGGAAATGAATTGGAAGAATTTTAAAATTGTTTCCGCTTAAAGTTGAAGTACTTCATGCATTTTGACTCTTTTGAAAAAAATTTCGAGCCATATGATGAAAAATATTGACTTTTATATGGATGTAATTTTCGATGTACTTAAATTTGTTTTCGCACCTTTTTTTGGCCATTTTTTGTACAATCAAATCACTTAAAAAAAAATAAAAACGCTAAAGAAAAGGGAAAAAAAAAGAATATATATA